CTGGAGCGGAATGGAGGTTCCCGACCCCTGTTCCTGGGGCTATCACCTCCTTGCCTGTGATCATCAGGCTTTTATTTCCATGTGAATGAGCCGAGGGAAGAAGGGTTTCTGAGTTTTGTAGGCCTTTCATTCTTTTCTTTTCTTTAAAAACTGGACCAGAAACTCCAGTCCTTTCAGCCTTCTTCCTCTCCCCAGAGTCCCCTGATGCACATTGCTGCTAATGGGGCTTTGGGCTCTGCCAACTCAAGAGGAGAAACAGGCCCAGTGCATCTGCGCCTAATGAGGAGCCCTGAATAGAAATGAGAATCAAACATGCATTGAAAATGCTCAGTCCTCAGTCAATTGTCCCTGCTCCTCCCCTTGCATCTCAAGGTCCTCGAGCCCAGCGCCAGCGCAAGGTGACCTGCCAAACTGATACCCTGTGTGGATTGGGGAAGGGCACTCAGATGAGATCCAGGAGCACAATGTGAACTTATTTTCTCTCTGCTTGGCCTCTGCCAAGGCAGGGACCGAAGAGCAAGGCAAGTGGGAACGGGAGCAGAGCATGACCGAGCAGGACAAAAGCTCTGGGTGGCGTCCTGAAGTTCACTTTACTTTGGAGAGAGATTTTTTTTCAGCATTCTTAGTGAAGAAAAGAAAACGGAGAGGGGGCAGATAGTAGAGAAAACATGGACCACCATATCAAGAGGCAGGGAGCAGGTTTACTACAGGAGCTTGGATAAAGTTGTGAGGCTTAGTTCCCTTGAATGTGTAAAGTGGGAGCTAGTGGTACATGTCTTACTGCCTCCCAAACCCACTGGGGGACTTCATAAGACATTGTCTAGGAAGGGCTTTGTTCACTAGGGGCCTATCAAATGTGAGGTAAGAAATAAGTGAAATTTTAGGCAAATAAGTTAGTGAAGTCTAGAAGTGGTAAGGCTAACTAAGCAGCTAGTCTATGGACCGCAGAAAGAATAGTGGATTCAGTTAATCAAATCAACACAAACATGCAAGGGTTCGGCTAATCAAATCAACATTCAATAGTAACAGGCCACTGTCTGGGACCAAGTTCCATACAGCAATATCAATGCTGCTCAGAAGTGTGTAGATAAAGGAATAGCATACACTTTTTAAACTGTAATATTGTATGCATCAATCTCCTATGACTTTGATTCATGTAAATATTTCCCTCTGAGTCTAATTTCCGGCACTGAGAGGACCAAAACTCCATATGATGAGATTCTCAAAGATCTGTTAATCTGTGGGACTATTTCTGGGCATCCACTTAGTTCCCCTGGGACTACACTATTCCTTCTAAATGACACCTTCTTTGATAGTCTAAGGACTGGCTGGGACCAAGTTTAGTGTAGAGGAATAGAAAGGGAGAGAGATTTCAAAAAGTCTTTGTCAATGGGCATATATTTGAGCGAGAATAAAGAATCAAAACAAGTCAAGCATCACTGAAATCATCCAGTCCTAGTTCTAATGTTTTGGGCTGGGTGTGAGGGAGAGGGTTTCTACTGACAATAATGTAAGGGGTACAAGATTAGCATAAGATCAACAAGGACCGTGTGATGGTTTGCATCCTTCCTCCTGCACTCATGAAGATATCACTAATAAATGTAAGAATTTTTTTCTACTTCTCAACACAGAAAATAACATGACCCACTCGAGTAAGTCAGAACTAGTATATGACATGTCACCTTAGAGCTGATAACTAGAGGAAATAGCTCACTAAATCTGCATCAGTTGTTGGTAACCTCAGACAAGTCAGTTTACACAAATCTTAGATGATAGGGAAAAACGAGCAATTTTTTTTCATCTAATCTCCAATAACAATCACAATAAGTAATGACAATTATGACATTCCCTTGTGTGCTATGTGACCGCATTTCCTATCTCATCAGTGGAAAAGAAGAGGGAAAATTTTAATTTTAATATGAACAGAAGCTAGTCATAAGCTCAAATTATACAGGAATATTTACTTAAAACCTAGCTGTTCTCCTAAGTCTGAAACCGAGGAGTTATTGCATGCTTCTGTATAGTAATGATAATTTCCCGGGCCGTCTCTACATATACCTCTCACCAGTGTCTATCCCATCTAAAGGAGACAGAAGGCTCAGAGGTTCTGCCAAAAGGCCCCAGCTTGTCCTTCTGTCTGAATGGCTACCGTTTATGTCACCAACATTGGCTCAACAAATTACAACAGAAATCAGGCCCCAGTCAAGCCCACTGAGAGTAGGACAAGTGTGACGGAGAACAGTGCCTTCTGTGGTGCTTTGGTAGAAACTTGGACAGAGGAATCCTCCGCACAGGGCTGTGACAATGCTTCACATCTCTGCTGGGGAGCCTACAAGCTACTCCCAGAGAAGCGGGGCCATGGGAACCTCTGCAGTAACCTGAGTCACATCAACTCAGTCCATCCGTCACGTGCCAGGGCCAATTTTGCATCCACTCTGAAAGCCCTGAACTGGAATGTGGAACCCAGCTTGGTGTGAAACTGCTGAGCACTTGGCCCATCCCCTTATTCCCTGTGAATCCCAGCAATCAAGTTCCCATTTAGCATAATCTGGATGTGGCTCATTATTATAGCCTGGCAGCCTGATTAATATAACACTGTTGAGAAATTCAAAGCAATCAAAGATTTCAAAAGTATCTGAAATGGTATTAGAAAACTTTAAATGGTAATTCCACTCTACAGAATGCATCCAAAATTTTAAATCTCATCCACATTAAACATTTGAGGGATCAGGATATAGCTCAGCAGCATAGCATCTGCCTGGCAAGTGCAAGGTCCTGAGTTTGATTCCCGGGACAAAAAGGAAGGAAGGAAGGAAG